TTTTAATGTTTTATTTATTTATTCATGAGAGTCAGAGAGAGAGAGAGAGGCAGAGGCAGAGGGAGAAGCAGGCTTCCCGCCCAGCAGGGAGCCCGATGCGGGACTCGATCCCAGGACCCCGGGATCATGACCTGAGCCGAAGGCAGACGCTTAACCATCTGAGCCACCCAGGCGCCCGGGGCATGCGATTTAAAGGGGGTGGTTGGGAGGGCCTCTGTGAGAAGGTGACATCTGATTGAAGAGCAGAAAGGAGCCACGCAGATTTCTAGGGAAGAGCTTCCCAGGCAGAGGGAAGAGCCAGTGCAAAGGCCCTGAGGCAGAAGTGTCCCTGGATAGATTTTAATCAAGATGCCTATTTCTTTTTTTTTTTTTTAATATTTTATTATTTATGAGTCAGAGAGATAGAGAGCACAAGCAGAGGGAGCGGCAGGCAGAGGGAGAAGCAGGCTTCCTGCTGAGCAAAGGAGCCCAATGTGGGACTCAATTCCAGGACCCTGGGATCATGACCTGAGCTGAAGGCATATGCTTAACCAACTGAGCCACCCAGGCATCTGAAGATGCCAATTTCTGGTACTGATGCAAATGATGTCTTAGGCGCTGTTTTTCATCAATGGGCAAAAATGCCCCTACAATACTGTGACTATTAATGGAGGTCTCCAGAGCCCCCAGTCATCTCCCTGGACACTCAGCCTGGCCCCGAGAAATCCCAGCTTTCTGCAGAATCATCCAATACCTTGTGAGCCTCCAGCCACCTTCCTTCTCTAAGAGCTGGCAACTGAACCTTACCTTTGCCCCTGGTTCTCAATACTTGAGAGAGTGCCTCTCTGACAAGGGCTAAGCCTCCAACACAAAATCACTTTCCAGGACAAAGGTGGAAGCGTGTCAGGAGAACTCGGCCAGCAGCCATGGGCTAAGAACTCTGCTCCATTTCTGCCAGCTCACAAGAGGATGGAAGCTTCTATTTATTCCCATAGCTTGCTGCCTCCTGTACACAGGACGTTGGCTCCTGACCAGGACAAGACTTCAGAGGCTGAGGCAGGGGCCGTGCGACTCTTGATCTTGGGGTCGGGAGTTCAAGCCCCACACTGGGCGTGGACCCTACTAAGAAAGAAGAAAGAAAGAAAGAAAGAAAGAAAGAAAGAAAGAAAGAAAGAAAGAAAGAAAGAAAGAAAGAAAGAAAGAAAAAGAAAGAGAAAGAAGGAAGGAAGGAAGGAAGAAAGAAAGAGAAAGAAGGAAGGAAGAAAGAAAGAAAGAAAGGAGGGAAGAAAAGAAAAGAAAGGAGAAGAAAAGCTGAGGCCCAATGTCACAAACCACTGGGGCACACATACCGCAAGATTCCACTCACACGAGGCAGCTGGAGGAGTCCCCGGTCATAGAGACATGGACCCAGGATGGGGGCACCAGGGGCCAGGGAAGGGGGCTGGGGCGCTGGTGCTTCCTGGGGGCAGAGTCTCCGTTGGGAGGATGGATGGCATGATGGCCACGGACGGCACACTTTCAAAGGGTTGATATCCACACAGTGATAAAAGTCTGAGCCGTGCAAGGATAGAAGGGGAACCCCCACGAAGTGCGGGCTGGGTGGTTAGAGCGTTGAGAAACCTCTCAGGAAGCTGGCTGGAAGCTGAGCTATGAAGAAGCAGACCCGAGAGAGTCGATCTTTGATCAAGAACTGGGGAGGGAGGCGGCAGATGAGATATGGGTGGGGAGGGCTTGGAGAGGAAGAGCAGGTCTGGCGGACCCCTGGAGAGTTCTCTGCAGCCTCCAGAAGAAGGAAGTGAGGGGCTGGGGGGCCTCCAAACTGTCCCTAAGTCCACTCTAGGGGGACCTCTTCCTTCCTGGGCCCATCCTGGGCCAGAGGGAGAAGTGCTGCCGAGTGTGAGTGGGGCAACCCGCTGGCTTCCCTGAGCGACACGCACCCACACAGGGTCTGTCCCAGAAAGAGGACCCCGCCACGCAGAGGGACAGGAAGGGGACACAGGCCAGCAATGCGGGCTCGCTGTTTCCCAGGCATCCCCTCTGAGCCCTGGGCGCCCCTGCTGAGACCCACATGCCCTCTCTATAAAACGAAAGTCGGAGGTGTACCAAGGCTGAGCCAGCGGACGCAGCCCCCCACAATGCATTGCCTCTAGATTATTTTAAAACAATAATAAGGGGCGCCTGGGGGGCTCAGTCGTTAAGCGTCTGCCTTCAGCTCAGGTCGTGATCCCAGGGTCCTGGGGTCGAGCCGCCTTCGGGCTCCCTGCTCAGCGGGAAGCCTGCTTCTCCCTCTCCCGCTCCCCCTGCTTGTGTTCCCTCTGTCAAGTAAATAAATAAAATCTTTAAAATAAAAATAAAACAATAATAAAACCCACTCAAACTCAGTCTGCTTCTTATTATCACCATGCAGCAGTCACTCTAAAAAAGAGTCAGTGATGAAATATTCCCCATGAAAAAAATCTTTTATTGGCCTAAGTTTTCTAAAGCAGGAATTATCAAGCTACAGCCCACAAGCCAAATCTGGCCCCCAGCCTGTTTTCGCAAATAAAGTTTTACTGGAACACAGCCAAGCCATTCACTACATCTCATTTACAGCTGCTTTCTTGCTTCCATGGCAGAGGTGAGGAGTTGTGA